ATTTTAAGTATATAAAATTTCATTAAAATCAGAATTTGACAATTTGCGAGATTCTCTTATCCGTGATAGTGCGTCCAATCAAATTCGTTATAAAGTAGCGCGAATTTGTTTTCCAAACGGTACGCACGCAATGTGAAGTTGTTAAGTAATGAAGTTAATCGCGATAGCGTGGACACGTGTAGTGTATGCGCAAGTGGGATAATATCGCGATAAGCAAGTATGCATGTCACTTGACTACAACTTTTTCTTCACGAGTAATACTCGCCTTTTATCATCGTTAAAAGTGCTCAAAACAAGTGCATTAGATTAAATCGCTCTTGAATAAGTGCGAAAAGAAGCGTTTCACAGAACATGAGCGGAATGGCGCGAATGTTGGGGCGGAATATTATCATGGACACGAAAGAGACACGAATCTTGGACTCATCGAGAGACAGCGAGATATTTCGCAGAGACAGACTGGAAGGGTTGTCGTTATCGACAATTTTCACCACACCCGGTGGTATATTATACGCTGCCGTCGTCGGTTTTCGGCGCCGGCGCCAACTACCCTTCCGACTGCGATATCGGGAGTCGCGCGCGCGCGCGTTCACCCTCGAATTGAACTTACACAGCCAACTTCGCGTTGACTCGTCGCATTTTACGTGCGTACGTGCGTACGTGCCGAATACGTACGTACTCATCGTGTCCGTGCGTATGCGTGCATATAGTACGTGCATGCGCGCGCGCACGTGCGGTACACGTGTTCTGACGTGTTCATTGGTGTCCGTTCGACACGCGTTTCTTCCTTCCCCCCATCGAAATTCGCGGTCTCATGGCAGAGGAAGGTATAAGACGGGCCAGACGATCGAACGTGCATACGGTCGCACGAAGTGTGTACATCGACACTGCACCGGGTGCATCGCGGCGGCTTCCCTTCGACAAGGGCTATCGATCGGCTAGTGCCGTAGCGAGGGTAACCATCGGCCGGCATAACGTGGTGCGTGATGTCACGCCGGCTCGCCGGAGCCAGCTAGAGTTCAGCCAGCCAGTCAGCTAGCCAGTCAGCCAGTCAGCCAGTCAGCCAGCCAGCCATCCAGCCAGCCAGCCACGCCGAGAAGGTGCGGGGAGAGTCACGTCGTTCACGGCGCGATTCGATATTACCACAAGTTCGACTCGACCGTGGAAGTGCCAGACACGTCGGAGGAGAGAGAAAGAGAGAGAGAGAGAGAGAGAGAGAGAGAGAGAGAGAGAGAGAGAGCGGGTAATTACATCATCGTCATTTTTCTGAATGGAGAATCGACTTGGGAGTAGTTGGGACTTGGGAGTCGGCGAGTGGCTGAGTGGCGCCGACGGCGTCGACGCCGCTCGCGCATCACGCGAGTGTCAAACGGCCTCCTCTGCCCTCCACCCGCTCCTTCTCTTAAACCGTCGTTGGATTATATCGGATGATAATCCAGTCGATTGCATCAAGGAATTGCTCGGGTGTAGCAAAAGTCGAATAATCGGAAGGCTATATTTTCGTTAATCGTCCGGAATGAGAAAATGCACGCGAGTATCGTGTTACGTATCACTTATGTATTTGTTTCGGCGGAAGTTGCTCTCTATTCTGCACACGATAATGTATACGTGAGAGTAATCTGACCTCAAGGACCTTTATTGTAAAAAAATATACTACTGCGGAACTTGCGGCGAGTAATTGGAGGTGATCGGAATTCCGATGTCCGCGAATGAGCATCGGTCACGCATCTGCGTGTTTTTGCGTCCCACGTTTGCCACCTAGGAATTCTCAGCCCACGTTAACGTCGCGCAGTCATTATTATTCATCTGTAGTAACTTGATACTCACATTTTATAATGAATTACTTAAATTTTAAGGGCGATATTCACAGTCGATTCTTATTTAAGATTGTCTTAAGTGCAATCTTAAGATATATCATGAATTAGAGGACGATGTTCATAGGGTCCAATTCTTAATTAGCCTATAATTGATCGATTAGGTATCAATCGTGATTGATCAATTCTGCTGAACAGTAAATACGATTTGGTCAGCTCCATTGTAACAATCGATCGATTAAGTTAATCGGAGTAGGTAAGATCGGCCCATAATCCGTTCTTATTAGGTGTTGGAATTAATTCGTAGCGTTTTTTAATGAAAGAATGTTATTTATTTCACATGAGCATTAAATACATTAATGAAAGTACTTCCCATCACTTGTAAAACGCTACGAATTAATTCCAACACCTAATATTTTAAATGACTAACTTAAGTAACGTCTTAAGATTTCTGATACAGCCGTCTGATTGGTTTATGCCCGTTTCCACTAATGTGGATTAACTTTAATCTCGGTTCAACTTATTCTTCGTCTTTTTCTAGTTTTAAAGATTAGAAAAAGACGAAAAGTAAGTTGAATTGAGATTAAAGTTAATTTACATTGATGGAAATGGGCATTATGATCATATCTTAAGATTGCATTTAAAACAGTGTCCAATATAAGAATCGACTATGAATACTAGCTTTATTATTAAAGAAAGCCTTATTAGCATCTTAAAATTTTATTTAAGACAGTTCTGAAATAAGAGATTATGAATGTGAAAATCATATTCACAGTCGAAATGTCGAATGTGAAAAGAATAATTGATTATTAGTAAATTCAGTTGGACGTACTAGTGCATATGAAAATTGTTATACACTGATTAATCCATATAAAAGTAAAATGCAAATATTTCGAATTATAAAAATACCGATTTTATTTAACAGCATATTAAAATGTATTGAGAATTTTATGGTTCAATCCGTTTTTGTATATATTTATATTAAACATTTTTACATTAATTTATGTACAGTTTTAACTTTAACCTTTAGACTTCGCATTATAATATACATCAATTTGAAGACATTGAAATTCGTTGAAATTATTTAATTGTGTCGAGAGATACATCTAAGGATGTATATAATAATGTATATGTTAGAGAAAGAATCAAAATTTTGAAAAAAATTAATTACTTAGTATGGATTAGTTATTATAGCGCATATGAATTGAATTAAAAAAAATTTTTTTAACATGGCCAATAAAATCAGATCTAAAGGAGTTAATCTGACCATTGAATGCGCGCATCCAGTGCATTCAATCGAATTCTCTATTAAATTGATTAATTTCTTTCTTAAGTCGGTTTACCACTTAAAGCTTAGGTAATGACTTATTGTAAAAAGCAGAATAGTTTTATAATTCCGCTATTCCATAGTTTTATTTGCTTCCTAAGAACAAGATGTCGAAATAAAAGTCTATCGTTTTTTAGATGTTAATTTGGGACTTTGTACCTTGCCAGTCCTAGCATCAAAAATTAAACATAACGAAAACCGTTAGATTAGAAATGTATTGCTAGTCAATCGATCGAATATAATTGGAAAGGAAGGGACGCAAAGAATGAAGGACGTTGATGCGCACGTAAGAACCTGCTGGAATTAAATGACGGAAATTGATGAGATAATAAATGAAGGCATGTGTTTCTAATTTGCGGAGCAAACAACGAATGTTTAGATTTGCACGCCTGGGCATGTTTTTAGAACCGTTTGTAATAGGAATTCGATCGGAATTATTTCGTTTTTTCTAGAAAATACAATAAAAATGTAGGATATAATTAAACAATTCTGATTGTGGAATCCATTCCAAACAATTCCATATTACGTGTTCAGAAAATCAATTATGAAATTTTTCCTTAAAGCGGAAACGTAAAAGTGAAATTTGTTTGTATGTGTGTACATTCTGGTTAAAAATTAGAATTTTCTAGTTGAATCTATCATAATTCTAGTCAAGATATATATAATCAAAATTATAATTGATATGAATTTTTTGGTTCGTTTATTTTCCAAAAATTTTTCTCAATGTATTACATAAAAATTTTCACTTTCCACGTTTTCGCTCTAAAGAAAAAGTTACACGATTTATACCCTCGGGTTTTATTTTTGAAAAATATCAAATACGAAAATAGGCAAATCTATAATATACATAATGTATGCAATAGTATTTCCCTA